GCCACTCACAGACAGAAGGTTTGAACAGAAGGTGGGCGGAGCTTCTGTCCCCAAAGAGTACAATAAGTGGGATATGTAGAAACTGACCTTTTGGATCTCAAAAATGACTCGTTCATGCAGTCAGGTCCATAAATGTTTGGATAATCACTCGATGTATTTCGGTCACTCCGTCATTTAATCGCTGCTGAAGCTGTTTTTCATTTTTCTTTCACTATTTTGTTTCACTCCTAACTTCACTTCACTTTAATAACATTGCTCCCAATTCCAGCTTCATGTGAAAAGTCTTCTGTGTGTATTGATAATATACATAAAACTCATGAGATTATTATTATCATTACAGGGTTCTAGACTAACCTTTTGCCATGGGCGCCCCGGTGCGCCTAACTTGTTAGCATCGCTTAACACTGCAGTTTTACATGTGCACATTTTTTGGGGGGGAAGTCCATACAGACAATATTCATTTCTAAATTATTAACTAACAAACTTGTGCTTAAAGTGCTTTGTCAATATTGTAGAAAGTGTTAAACTTAATCATCATCTCGGCTCCTCTGACGACCTGTTTGCTGCTGACAGGCAGTGGGGACACTTGGGCATTTATTGCAGCATATAATGTGTTTCCTGGATACACTGCTGCTTTTCCAGAGTTCAGAGGTTGATGGCACCGTGTCAGAGCTGGCTATGAATTTCAGATGGATCAGGCCTTAATCAATAGTTCTTTTCATCTTTTCTTATTACCCACAGCTACATCCACTTCTGTCAGGCCTAGGCTGCTCACTGGGGCTGAGTATCATCACTGATTTCTATAATCCATTCGATTCCGGTTCTCAAAGTCCTGATTCGATTCAATTTAGCCTCAGACAGTCAGAAATATTATAATTCTGATCATTTATCAGCACTGATACATGTGAGACTTCATCAGAATTGTGAACATCACAGCAGATGTCTTTAAGTCAAAGTAACTGAGAATAAAACACAGAAAAACATGAAGGAGATTTTCCTGGTCTGGCTTTTTATAGCAGATAACCTTAAAAATATTCTGCAATTTTGCATAATTTTAAGAAGTTAAAATTTCTTCAGTATTGAACAGCAGAAACTAGGCTTTCTTGTTCGAGGTCATTTAAGTGAAAAAAGAAAAAGACAGCGCTGTAAACAACGGTAGACTGGTGGGTAATAAGCGAATGAATAATGCAGAAAACAGATTTGAGATGAGAAACTGTTCTTGAAGTACAGAGAGAGAGAGAGCTGTGCAGGAAGTGTGATTTTTATTGTGATGGAAGCAAAACAGCAAAAGTCAGAGGGAATCCATGACGACGTTTATCAAATGTGAAGCGCAGTTTGCTGCTTCTTTTGCTGCTGGCTCGCTGAATTTTGGTTGGAGAG